CCCCCCCCCCCCCCCCCCACCCAGATCATACTTCCTTCAGGCAATCTAATTCAATAGAGTGAGGCCTCCTCGTCTTAGGCGCTTCACGACTGCGGGAAAAATACTCCAAGCATAAAAAAGGGGGTGGAGACAATTTCCCACCGTGTGAAAGGCACACATTGGAAATGCTCCACTTGGCGAGAAATGCAATTTACTGGGAGAATAGAAACAAGATTAGTATATTCAGGGGAACATTTTCTGCAGCAGAAAAATATGCCATTAATGCGCAATTTGCTCAAAGGTAAGAAAATGGGAAAAAAGATACCGCAATTCGTAAAGGAAAGGTACACAACCACAGGCCAATAAGCTCTGAACATTCTGAAAGATAGACACGAGCGTTTGAAAAGTTGGGAACAATGGAACTGCTGTAGCTACATGCCTTAACTCCAACCNCTTAACCCCAACCCCCCCCCCCTCCCCAATTCCCACGCGACATCTCTCACTTTGCTCTCGTTAAACAGTAAATAATTGTACTGCATTTGTCACGCTTGGCAGTTTGGGAATAAAGTGATTGGGATTGGACGTGAAAGTGGAAGAGAATAAAGCTTCAAAATAAAATTCTCCAAAATAAATTTACAGGAAGACTGAATTCTGCGTGGGGTAGTAGTGTGAGGGATGTAAAAAATGGTGGCTGATACCGCTCCAATGCTCCAACCCCCCCCCCCTCCCCCNTCCCCATTTTCAAGCGTGAGCTGTCTGTCTTTCAGCGCTGGACAAATTAAACTGGTTCGTGAGGTCACATAAGGGAATTTTAAATCTCCACTTATTAATTACAAAGGGCGGCAATTTGGGACGCAAGCTCCAGGTGCGCCCTGACCTTCTCAAGCAAAAACACCACCGCATTTAACCCTCCTCCCCAACCGCCCCCGCCGCCCTCTATTTAGCAACTGTAATATCTAAAGGTAAACACACCATATAACAGGATTTTTGGTGTTGATCACTAAAATATGAAAAGAGTAAAGAACGTTTGGAGTTCTCAAGGTGCTCTCTCTCTCGCCCTTTGCTCAATTTTTTTGTAAATAATTTATACGACTTGATAACACAGTCACGTGAGACATTAGAATCATTTGAACAAAGTTTGACAATATGAAACGAGCCTGACATTTCAACTCAAGTTCTGAATGAGGGCGCAACTACTCAGTGGAAGATAGAAAATACGAGACTCTGAATATTGTGTAAAACAAAATATGAGCAAACAGAACACCCAAGAAAATCGATATTGTTGATTAAAAGTTTTCTGTTGAGGGGGTGGGGGGAGAGAGAAATGGCCAGAACGATTAGGGAATCATGTTGGCAGTAGAAATTTCCACAACCCGTCTGAAAAGTTAGCAGGGAAAATGAGGATATCCCAACAGGGGATGCCAGAAAAGAGATGGCTCATTTTGTGAAGGGGGTTAGAGAAAAATTTTATTTAAAAAAATAAAAGAGAAAGTAGATCTCAACGAATCTATAATGATGATGGCCCGAAATTTACTCCAATCAGTTCACGACAGAATATACCCATACAATTCGATAATTACGTAGATAGATGCCATTCTCACCCAAGCCATTTCCTGACCACCCGGGAGGAACAGGCTCGGAATTGGAGGAAAACAATCGCTCATATGATAACTCAAGGAGAGTTCACAGCCTAGTTGCTTTGGGATATGATAAAGTCGAACGAGTTAGGTCACACAAAATCACGGGCACTTAAAATTTAAAAAAATTCCTCCGAATGAGAAGTGAGAAGTTAACCAGAACTTAATATATATATATATATATATATATACAGTGTATTTAGGAAACAGGCAAGACCGTTAGAAAAGTGATCGAGATTGTCCAAAGACATGAGCAGTTTCAACTGAGCAGCTTTAAGTATACAAGGACCCACAAAAAGATACCACCTGAGAAGAAATTACCCATTGACCCGAAAAGGTCAAGGCGAGGATTCTAAGAACTAACCCGGAGGGAGACCACCACCACCACCTGCTCAATTAACCTCATAGGATGATTAAATGCAAGTTTAAAGAATAGAGAGTGCAATTTAAAGGAAGTCAGAAATGGCCGCAAATTTGGAACAGAAGTGAGCAGATATCAACATAAGGATGATGAAATAAATCACTTTTTAACCGCGCAAAATGAGCGAAAGAAGTAGTTGTTGCCAATGAGGACAGTGGTAATCTTTTGGTTAAGCCAAGCCAGAATCAACTTTTTTGTTACTTACTCTCCAGTAGTAGTGACAACAAAGATTCCCTTTGCCTGGGAGTTCTCAGCAGCTTCAACTGCCGACAAAGCGGTGACATGGGAGCTATTCTTGCGACAGAGTCCACGAGCCTGACGACACGCGTATAACTCCGCACGAGTTGTCCTGTGGAAACGGGCTCTCTCCGCTTCACGACAAATCTAGTGTCAAGAAGATAACTATTTCAATTAAAGCCACAATACCTGACTCATGACCTGAACAGATTCAAGGGGATACATTCCTTCCGCTGTCTCGACGGTCAAAATAAGCCCATCAGCACCGTCTAGAACGGCGTTGGCGACGTCTGAAGCCTCTGCGCGTGTCGGACGGGGTTTATTGTACATGGATTCCATCAACTGAGCAATCACGAAAACTGGTTTTCTTGCAACATTTGTGTTGCCAATGATATATTTCTGAAGTTTGAAGATCTTCTCCGGAGGAAATTCGATCCCAAGATCCGCACGAGAAACAATTATACCATCGGCGTGTTCAATTATTTCGGCTAGACTAGAAAAATAATAAGTGTCGAAGATGAACTGCTGGTTACAATGTGGACAAAAGTTATCGCGTTATTCAGACGCATTCTCACACAGAGAATACGAGTAGATTTCTCAGAAATCATTCAGATGAATCATGCTTCAATATCTAACAAGCCAATATTATGAAAAAGATATTACCAAACCATAAAAGTTATAATCTTTGCAACATACATTTGGTTATACAAATCCAGTCACTCATAACACAACTTGAATGACATAGTGAAAGCGAACAAAAAAGTACATTCGTTAAAGAAAGTGTACCTAACGAATCAAACGCAAAAAGCATAGAAGAGAAAATAGGAATTAAATTAATCGTAAATGAATAATAAATGAATGTAAACTAACTTCCTAACTGACTCCTTAGTTTCAATGTTTGCAAAAACCTTCGTATGAGGCGGCAAACAAGCCTTAGCGTCGATAATCATCTGCGCATTATCTGCAAAACTGGTAAATACAAAGTCAACATCACACTCCGCAGCAAATGCCAAATCTTTCAAGTAGTTTGCTTCCAGTGTGTGATGATTCAGACGTTCACGGGGAAGAATCACACGCTGATAACCCGACATTGGACCTCCTTCCTCAACCACGCAAATCAACCGATCCATTCCAATCTCCTTGACAATTAAGCAGATGAGTCCATCACCAAAGAAAATTTTGTCTCCCCTGTGAAGATAGTGGATCATTTGAGGGAAGTTTGATGTGTTTATATAAACCTTCTCCTTTGTGCACTTGTTCCTGTAAGTCTCATCAAAGACCAACTCAACTTTATCGCCCTCCACGAAAGTAACGGTTGATTTTGGTCCCTAAAAATTATAAGGTAATTAAAATGAATGTTTGCTTTACCCCTTCGAAGAAGCCAGTGCGTACGCATTCAATAGTCAAATCAATAGCGACTGAAGTACACTGTCTATAATCTGAAGCTTCATCCAAAGCACGGGTAATTTGGATGGCTTCACGGCAAATTTCTTTAGAGTGATTACTCAAATTCAGTCTGAGAATATTCATTCCACCGTTAATCATTTGACTGATACCTTCATGTGTACACCATGATTCATCTAAAAATAATATTAATAATAGGACATTTTTCTTACTTAACGTGCAGATGATACAGGTTTCACGAGGAAATGCTGGTA